ACTTTGTTCTAACAATCTCCCCCTTTTTGATGATGACAAAAACTATATATTTTTTAAAAGAAAATAACGTGAAAAGGTATCAGAGAGATGCATCAGAGTAAGAGGTTATCAAAGATAAGGGATAAAAAGATATCAGAGTTGAGAGATACTCCCCCTGAGTTTATTACTTCCCTTTTTGATTACAAGTGTTCTTCAGGATCAGATCTTTTTGCCTTTCTTTGAACATCAGAGTATCAGAGTCTTTGACTATCAGAAGCTTTAGATCAGCATATCAGAGAAGAGCTTCAGATCAGCGTATCAGAGCTTTTCTTGTCAGAGCTTTGCTTTGGATCAGAGTATGCTTTGGATCAGAGTATCAGAGCGGATCAGAGCTTCAGAGCTTTTAGTCTTCAGAGTGTCCAGGAGCTTCCTTGTACCTGTAGACTTTAAGCAAAACAGAAAACATTTTCAAGTATAATAGAGTTAGAATGTTCGAGAATTTCTGTCTTAGTTAGCCGTTATTGTTTAAAATATCATTCTTGTTCTCCCCCTTTTTGTCAGCAATCAAAAAGTGTAGGTGATGTGCTAAAACAATTAAGATCAGAAAAACTTGTCATATTAAAAAGGTTCAGAATCAAACAAAACATATTCAAACAGTATATCAGAAAATCAAAGAAAACATGAAAATGACATGAATAAAAAAAACTAAGGTTGAGGAGGAAAGCGTGTGAACAGGTTCTCCAGCATGGCTTTGATCTGATCAGTAGTCTCATTCTGCTTGTGCACCATGCTGACAACAGTATCAATTTACTATCCTGCACATCCATTCTTTCTTTCATCTTCTGGTCGTTTTCATCCATCCTCTGCTGCAGACGCATGTCATTCAGCTTCAGCTCTTCCAGAGTCTGCCTGTCCAAGGCAGCTTGAGAAACATTAGAAGCAGGAAGCTTCTGAGAGCTTTCTGCAACATCTTCTGCTTGACTTGCTTCAGCTTGAATGGTCTTGTCTTCTTCTGGTTGCACCTTTGAAGCTAGCTGTTTCTCAGACCAAGGTTCACTATCCAGAGGGAGCACAGCTTCCTGAGGCAGCTGACTTTCAACTTCCTTCAGCAGCTTGCTGAAGTTCTGTTATGCCTGCTCATAGTTGATATCCTGCAACTTGAGGGCTTCAGCACGTACCCAAAGTCTGAATTGTGACCAGAGCTGGTCAGAAGCAGCTGGGTCAATCATTCCAGGACAGACTTGCTTCAAAGAATTTTGAGTAATGCAAAATGTGTTTTTTTAAGTAATGCAAAAATAGGTTGAAGTTTGCACTTCCTTTCAAATTGCTTAGAATCATACTTGTTATCGAATATGTTAACAAAAGAAGTTGTAGAAATTTTTCACTTGAAATTGATTTAATAATGGTCATTTTCTAATGTATGTAACGTCATTTGCATTCAAGGGATGTGTGTAACCATTTGTTATCATGTCTCAGAAATCAACATCAAAATCAAAGAAGAAAATTTCGATTCTATCCTTCCAACAATCTAACTTATTACCATAAAAAACTGGAAGTTTAGCAGAGTAGTGATCTTTTATCATTGTTTGCAGCGGGTGGAGGAACTTCTGCCATTGTGTTTCAAGAACTGGATATTTATCTGACACGGTTAAGTATTTGATATCACAATCAATACTAGAACCGGAGCAGAACCGGCACTCTGATGTCAATTGAAGGGTAAAAAGAACACAAGAAATTGGGGTTTGAATTGGGTTTCTAGAATAAAACTTTTTCGTTCACCCAAACACAAACAACATAAAATCAACAATGATAAAAGAACACAAGTATTTTTTTTATCCTGGTTCCCCTTTAACTAGGTTAGTCTAATTCACCCGCCAATGTGATTTCGCCTTCTCAATAAAGACTTAATCCGCTAATCACTGATTTGATTACAAAGACAAAGACCACAATCAATATCTTCTCGAGAATCTTGACTATAGCCTAGTCTGACTCTCAATGAATTACAACTCAAAGACAATCTGTCAATGACTTCTTGAGTCTTAAGGAAGTTAACTAAAAGGTTGAAAATAAGAATTGTGCGTTTATAGATTTTCTTCTACAATAAGCAGATTACACAAAATGAAGATCAAAAGATTACACTTAAATGATTTGAAATACGGAACTCTAAGTGGGCGAGATACTTCCTCAAGGATTTCAAGGATTTTGAGGGACCTTGGTGTATGTTGGATAGGTTGGTGGCGGTCATCTTCCTATGACTATTCGTACAGAATTGGGGGACTAGCTTCGTTATCAAATCTTAGTAGCTGGTGGCAGAGAGCCGGGGAAGACTCATATACCACCTTAGAGTCGCGTCTACAAAGGTGCCAAATAAGAGTTTGGACTTCAAGGAGTTAGGTGCCCTCGATGATGGCCATCAAAGTGTTGATGAAAGCAACATTTTCATTCGGGTCACAACGCCAGTCAAATTTAGTCAATGATGGCGGCTGGAAGTTATCTGGGACGAGTGCCTCCCATATCTCATCCGATAGAGGTTAGGGATGTAATACCTCCCATTCGTCTACCATGTTTGTCTCGTGCTTGCACTAGTGGATATGGAGGATGTTATCCTATAGGGTTTGGTTATGGCGACAAAGATCATCTATAACAACACACATCTCTATTATGACACTTTCCTCACCGTCAGACTCATCACTAACTGGAGTTGTTGTCTTTTTCGTTCACCATAGTAGTTAGGGGGCTGAGCAGGAGGCAATAATTCGGCAAGATGGTGTTATGGTGGCCTGAATCAGTTTTATTGGGGCCCTACAGTGGGTCCCAATTGTACTTCCTAAAAATTACAAATGTGTGACAATCCCTTATGATTAAAGGTTACCAGAGGTTTTTAGGTTCTTTGGGGTGTTGAGAGTTATCTCACGTAGGGGGTGAGAAGTTCTATATGTGTGGTTTTTTGAATTAGAGTTGGATTGTCCCCTCTCCACTGTGATGTTGAGATATTTATAGTCGTATTGGACCTGGATCCAAAACTTCATTGAAAATGACAACCACGGAGAAAATTGATTGTTCATCTCCTATTATTTCGAGGAGCGTGATCCACATTTCCCATGACTTCGTTCATTCTGTTATCGGTAGGGACATGTCATTCAGCAATTTTCATGTTGGACGACTTATCTTGGAGAAGAGTCAGTTATCTAATAAAAGGACGATGCATTCGATAAAGTGACAATCGACTTGATAATCAAGCGATTGAAGGTTTTCATGTCGCTTCTTAACATTTCCTCACAAATATACTGATACATAACTTGATTATAATTTATATCTATTTTAAAAATAAATATGATTATAAAATGAAATAAAATTGTTTAAACTTGGTTTATGTATCATCTATTTTCTTTTCTTTTCTCTGTAATTGTGATAAAATTTAGTTTGTTTTCCAACTTAGTCTTAATGATAGTAAAACTAGAAAAATAATTATTTTCAAACAAAGATCCTTAACACACAATATTCAGTAGTTATTTATGTTTGCCAGCACATAATTTTATATATTCTAAAAGTACTATTATAAAAATAAAAAAAAACACACACACATATATATATATATATATATATATATATATATATATATATATATATATATATATATATATATATATATATATATATATATATATATATATATATATATATATATATATATATATATATATATATATATATATATATATATATATATATATATATATATATATATTATTTAATGAATTTAAAAAACAAATTTATGTTTTTAATAGTAGCAAAAAGTTGTGTATATTTTGTATGGTGTTTAAACAATATATATCTAAAAAATTTAAAGGTAGTGCAAAGAAAATTGTAAAAATATTTAAACAGCTTGTGCATATTCTTTATTCTCATATCTAAATAGCAGCTCTTAAAATTTTCATTCTATAGGTTGAGCTAAATATTTTTTACCAAGACGTTTTTAAATCTCTTGTGCGTCATCACCTCTTTATCTTATGTTCCTCACAATAGGTGACAACCATTTATCTCCATATACATCTTTTAAACTAATCCATTTTCTCTTAAATTTAGAGTGGCATAAAACCTTGTTTCCAAACCATAATCTCCAACTCTAGGTGGATTGTTGGAACAGGTTCTAGGATCAACTTTTGGATGGATGACTGGTATGTTGGTGTATTAATTTATCTTTTGCATGGCCCTTATCACAACTCTCAACACTACATGGCAATGTAGAAATGCTAAGAAATTTCATGTTCAATCTTTAAACTTCAACTCTGTCACATTCCAGATCATTGCTTCTGTAGCAAGTACTGGTAGTCATTCCCCTAAAGTCCCCATCAGCTTGTGGAGGTATTTATAGGAATACAGTTGAAGATTTATCGACTGCTTTGTTTCACCTCTAAGGCATCATATATAATGCTTTGTTTGCAGAGATTGTGAGTGTCATTTTGGCAATTGAGAAAGCTCGCCAAAGGAAGTGTATGGATCGAAACTAACTCCTTACTTGTTACCTTGGTCTGCAAGTCTTATAATCTAGTCTTCCTGGACATACATTTTGTAAGCTAGTGACATATCATGGACATTTTGACGAATCATATGCTTCTGACCTATGGTTTTTGCTGTCCTAAAATGTTTGTTCTATTTGATGCATTGTCTGTTAATTTTATTCAGCCTCCACTTAGTCCTAAAGTTCATTCTTTAATGATCATGATAATCCCATGGTATATAATATATCATGCTTTATTAGTTCCAAATAGGAGAAAGTGGAAAGAAAACTATCCTAAACTGAATCAACTGATCTGAAATTTTTTATTTATTGCTTCTGGAGCTTTGATAAAAGTCAGTGCCCACCATAATAAGTTTCCTTACCAAGTTATTGGTGAACATGCTTCTGCTAAAAATCATTACATATATAAGATAATGGCCTAACTTCTTAACAAAAGCACACCATGCTGCATAACTTCTTTTTTCCACAAATGACTTGGAAATTTAGGAGCACAAATTTTCTAGTGAACACCTGAAATTCAAATCAAGAAGAAGTTCACTATTACCTTTGCATTCTGAAATATGAAAATCTAATTATAACTGTGAAAGCAATTAATGACTAATTACGATTCAACTAAGCATAAAAAATCTCAAACTCTCACCAGGAAAAATGGTCTTTTTGATTATGATTAGCTCTCTAGTGACATCAACAATATTCATTCTTTCTTTTGGTGATTCCATTGAACAAGTAAGTCCAACCCTAAAGAGTGAAACTAAGCCCTCTTTTACATTTAGAGCAAGATTCTCACGATTTCCATCTTCTACTTCAACTTCTCCATGTCTAGGTACAAGACACGGGTCCAAAATCTCTCTAAGATTATCAGGAAATGATCTTGCAACAAAGTTATGCAGATTTTGACCATTTTCAAAAGCTTCATCGGTGGGTCTTCTACCGGTAAAAATTTCCAACAGAAGGATTCCAAAGCTATACATGTCACCGCATGTGGATACTTCAGAACCCATTCCGTACTCTAAAATGTATAGCAAAAGATGTTAATCTTATGTAACTTGTAAAATATTAAATCAACACAAAAAAAGTGACAAATTCAAAGAAACCATGGAGGATTCAAAAGTTTAGAACATACCTGGAGGAGTATAACCAACTGTTCCTTTAAATACAATTGTACTAGTATTCTTATGAGAGGTAACACCAATGGCTGAGACAAGTCTTGAAATGCCAAAATCACTCACATGAGCAACCATGTCATCATCAAGAAGGACGTTGCTTGGCTTTAAATCAGAATGAATGACCAGTTGTTCACATTCTTGATGAAGATATTGTAATGCAGACGCAACATCGATAATGATGTTTAATCTAAGACCAAGGTTCAATGGTGTTGGATGCTCAACATTGAGAATTCCGGGATGCAACCATTGTTCTAAGCTTCCATTTTTCATGTAATCAAAAACTAGAGCTTTAAATTCTTGACCTTTGTAATCCGTACTAACACAACATGTTAAAATCTTGACTACATTTCGATGCCTTATGCTTTTGAGTGCGTTACATTCAACAACGAAACTCTTGTGAGCTCCCTTATTTTGGAGGTTCAGGACCTTTACGGCAACAACACTATCTTCTGACAAAAGATTTCCTTTATACACAGAACCAAAACTTCCTGAACCGATCAAGTTTTCAGTCGAGAAACCATTAGTTCCTCGATGCAAGTCTTGGTATGAAACCTTAGCTAGTTGATCAATTGATGGTGAATCAGAAGATTGTTTTTTATTTCTTTTCCTCATCCAGTAGATAGTTATAGTGAATGAAAGTATGAGAATAAAACAAACTCCACTGACTATCAGTGCTACCAACTTGAATTTATGGTGGTTTTCCTGTCTCCTACCTTTTATAGGGCATGGTTGTAGATGCAGCTGTGAAATACCTCCACAAAGTTTATTGTTTCCAATAATTGCTACTTGAGAAGCATTTCCAAAGACACCATCTATTGGTACCTCGCCTTCCAACATGTTAAAAGAAACATTTAAATGTTTCAAAACTGAGAAATTTTGCATAACATCAAGAATTGATCCTGTCAAACGATTTCTTGAAAGGTCTAAATACCGAAGACCTTTGAGAGAAGCCAAAGTAGATGGTATTGTTCCATTAAAGAAGTTTGATTGCAAAAGAATATATTCTAAGCTTGAGCATTCACCAATTGTTGTAGGAATATCCCCAGATAGATGATTCTCAGAGACATCCAACAAACCAATATTTTTAAGCATGCCAACTTCTTTTGGTAAGATTCCACTCAAAAAGTTATGTGACAAATTCAACAAGATTGATAAAGAAGAAAGCTTAAAAACCTCTAAAGGTATGGTTCCTCTAAGCTGATTCTGTGAAAAATCTAGATATTGTAATTGTTGGCAGTTTTCTATACTTGGAGGAATATTTCCGTCAAACATATTAAGATGTATATCCAAATAATACAATCGACTAAGATTACCTATAAAGGGTGGTATATTTCCTAACAGCTTGTTTCCAACCAATTCTAATCGTTGCATCTTTTGGAACTTCCCAAAAGTAGTTGGAATCATTCCTTCAAAGTGGTTGAATGGCATGGTCAAGGCAATTAAGCCAACTAGATGTCCTAACTCTGCAGGAATTTTTCCTGTTATCTGGTTAAACCCAAGAAGTAGTCTATTGAGTTCAGTGGATAAATTGCCTATGGCATTTGGCAGAATGCCACCAAAATTATTATAGGATATAGAAAGCAGAAACAATCTACTACAGTTTGTCAAAGATTTTAAAAAATCCAAATCATTAGTTGAATTGCTACCTAAAATATTGAGTTCCAAATTCAAATATTGCAAATCTTTTAGCCTTTCGAGATTTGGAACTTGTCCAACAAAAGAATTTTGACTGATATCAATATATACCAAGGAAGATGAATTTATAATTGAAGTTGGAATAGTGCCAGAGATTTGATTCCCACCGATTTGAAATTGTATGAGATTTGGAAGTGTGTGGAACATATTAGGTGGAAGAGAGCCATGAAAATTATTCGCTGCTGTTAACAGCCAACCAATTGACGAGATATTGTAAAGACAAGAAGGAATCGTACCAGATAAATTGTTCTCACCCCAACTTAAAAGTGACACGTTTGTGAGGCGACATACTTGTTCTGAAATATGTCCCGCAAAGTTGTTATAGTCAAATACTAAAACTTTTAAGTGTGAAAGATTCCCTATGAATGAAGGGATTCCTCCGGTTAAATTATTTTTCCCAAGGCTGAATACTTGAAGCTTTTTCAAAGAGCCAATTTCAATTGGTATTTTTCCAGTCAAGTTGTTCCCTCCCAAAAACAAGCCTTTGAGATTGGAGCAATATGTTAAGTTTGTAGGAATTTCACCCGTAAACGAGTTATAGAAAAGATGAAGTTGTTGCAATTGTATCAACTGACCCAACTCCTGTGGTATTTCTCCAATGAAGTTGTTGCGGCTAAGGTTGAGTTTGATCAGAAAAGAGAGATTGCCCACATGAGGAGATAGAGATCCATGTAACTGATATCCTCCTAAGTTCAGCTCTATAACTCTTTGATGCATGGGGCTGCATGTGATTCCATGCCACTTGCAGAAGTGAATGGAAGTATTCCAAGATTCAAGAGTTCCATATGGATAACTAGATATTGATTCTTTGAATTTGAGCAATGCCAAATGATCTGTTTGGTTTCCCAAAGCCACTGCCACAATTTTGTTAGGACCAAACCACATTAAACATAAAGTAAGCAAAAAAAGAAGCTGAAGGTAGAAAAGTATAGATGCCAAGAAAGAAAAGGGCTTCATTTGGTGGAACAGTAAGAGGTTTATACTATATGGCGTTATTTGGACTTGATAGTTATTTGGTAGAATAGTAAGAGGTTTATACTATATGGCATTATTTGGACTTGATAGTTATTTGGTGGAATAGTAAGAGGTTTATACTAAAAGCAATTAAGCATGCATTTAAATACTGGTGGCATGAGCTAGTGCTGAATGTGAACTTAACTTTTTTTTATTTACTTCACACACGAGATTATATTGAAAAGTGAAATCAATTGATCAAACAAAGATAAAAAGGACGGCACATGTGAGTCAAAGTGACAGAGCTATGTGATTATGTGAACAATATAACTCCACGCTTTTTTGTTTCCATTGAAATTTATTAGACCAAATTAAAGATGCAATAAATGAGACAAGTGAAATAGTGTAGTTGTGCATCAATGAATAGAGGATGGCAAGGCAAAAGAATTGTACATATTGTTATTGTACTGGCCCCTTGAAATTGTACATATTGTTATTGTGCTGGCCCCTTGGCTTTTTTTCTATCACATGGTCTTCATTTGTGCCATTTCCTACAATAATACATAAGAAGATGAAGGTAGGAAAGTATAGGTGACAGGAAAGAAAGAGGCTTCATTTGGTGCAGACAGAAGTTTATGCTGTAGATTTGATAACTATGTGGTAATACATAAGAAGCATGCATTTAAATACTGGTGGCATGAGCTAGTGCTGAATGTGAACCTAATTTTGTTATTAACTTCACACACAAAGTGAATCAGTAACGCGACCGAGCTATGTTATTATGTGGACAATATAACTCCACACTTCCTACAATAATACAATTATCAAAATATCTTGGAATTGATGGTTCATATTTCCTTGGCTTTGTCGGCATAGCTTTTGGGAAAATAAATGAGACAAGTGAAATAGTGTAGTTGTGCATCAATGAATAGAGGATGGCAAGGCAAAGGAATTGTACAAATTGTTATTGTGCAGGCCCCTTGAAATTGTACATATTGTTATTGTGCAGGCCCCTTGAAATTGTACATATTGTTATTGTACTGGCCCCTTGAAATTGTACATACTGTTATTGTGCAGGCCCCTTGAAATTGTACATACTGTTATTGTACTGGCCCCTTGAAATTGTACATATTGTTATTGTACTGGCCCCTTGAAATTGTTAGAATTCTAACAGAGCATATATTAGTGGAATTAGGAAGGAAGACCAACTAGAAGTGTAAGGTAAAAAATGGTTACTAAGAACTCAAATAAATTCCAGGGTTTTAATAGAAGTAATTTGAGAGAAGATATATTTGGGTGAAAAATGTTACTCGCTCAAATATCTCACAAAAATCTTTGAGAATTTTGTGAAGATTAGTATAGATAGGCCTGGCCTTTTTTCAATCACATGACTCATAATGATCTAACAACTTGTTTCCACTAAAACTTTAAGTTTATATATTCCATTAAAACTAATTATGTGCAGCTTTCATTCAATTAGGTCTTTTTTGTTTATAATTCAAAATAGAACGAGAATATAATCTCACCTGAAACTTATTGAATATTTTTGCCCAACTTCAATTTTCAACTACATAAACTCACCCTGAAAACCCTAAGGAGACACCCCTAACTAGAAGAAAAACTCTAGGACTGTGTTCTAGATCAGAATTCAAAATTTATCTCTATCTATTTGTTAATGGAAAGTTTATTTGGTGATCCTTTACTATATGCTATGATGAACTAGTTGAAAGGCTCGTGATAGAAAAATATATAACATGGTTTTACATTAATAATAGCTTAGTTTTTCCTCGCTTAGTTTGATAATTTTGTACGACTATGAAAGTCAATAGCTTGACCTCTTTATCTTTACCCTTCCCCTTCATCAATTTATTAATTGTCTAATAACAGCTCAAGCACTATTACTCAGAGTAACCTTTAACGCTTTAGTCCTTTAACTTAAATAACTTTTGCTTAGTCTTCAGAGAGACATGAGATAAGATAAAACATTGTGATAGTTGAACAAACAGAATTACCTTCACAGAAGATGGAAAAAACTTGGCAAGATACACATGACAGAAGTGAATGAAAAAAACAAAATCTAACACATGATAGAATTAGATTTAATTTAGACTTAACAGTGTGCAGACAAACAAAAAGTCTTCTGAATTTGTTAGATTAGTAACAAGAATATCAAATGTGTCAGTAATACTAACATCAATAGCATGTTAATGGAGGTCAATTTGAAGGCTAAGAGCATGAACTTAATGATTTTTGTTGTGGATCAATGCATGAATAGGAAAATAGTGTGTCTGAAGCAATTTATGGGTACAAAAGTAAATGAACTAATATATACTCACACGTGGTGATTCTTCAAAAAAATACATAAATGTAATTTAATCTCTTTAATATAGAAGTAAAATATGAAATTAACCACTGACCTGAACCTGGCTCCAGACACAATCTTTAACCATTCCATTTCCATCTATCAAATTTTGAATAATATTTGCCTCCTTCAAATTAGCCATTAAAACATAACTTGCAGAAATTCTTGGACTAACGTCTAATAAATTGGCAGCTGCATGTCATGGATTCTGCAAGCACCGAGAAATGGGCCCAAAGCTTCGGCTTGGGCTTCTGGCGGCATCGCTAGAATTGTATATAACCCCGTAACCCCCTTGATAGTTGTCCAAGAAACTACTGACTTTTCATCCAAAAAGTCAAAAACTTTACTTAATCCATTTGTCCAAAACTGAGTAAACAAACCCATCAATGAGTTATCTAGAGAAACCTCAAAACACACAAGGCCAAGTTTGACAACAAAACAATGTATTAACATACCCTGCCTAAGAAACTCAAGAATTCAAATGGGAAGAATAAACCATTAAAATTGAAAGAAATGTAGTCAAAACCAAGAACCGCGTCTCTTTCAAGAGGCTCAATGCCTTGTCCATAAAAGAGGGCATTCCACGCAACAACACTTCTTTGTGGCATTTCATCAAATAACTTTATTGCATATTCAAGAATGAAATAAATGTAACAGCTTAGAAGTCAAACCAAGTTGGTCATTCATAAAGATGAGGGATGTCTCTCCAGCTCCACCATTAAAGAAGAAAAATAAAGGCAAACCTTCTTTTCTTCGAATTCCGTAGTGCTATTCAAACACACAGTTTTATTCAAATGTCTCTCAGTCTCTCTTATTTCAACAAGGTTAAATCTTTGAAGTTCAACTCTATCACATTCTAGATCATTGTTTCTGTAGCAAGTATTGGTAGTCATTCCCCTAAAGTCCCCATCATCAAAGAAGTGATTTGGCATCCACATTTCGGAATTGGTTCAAGTCTAACATTGATGGTGTTGTTATTGGCTCTCTTAGTACCTCAACTTGTGAAGGTATTTATAGGAATATAGTTGAAGATTTATCGACTGTTTTGTTTCACCTCTAAGACATCATATATAATGCTTTGTTTGCAGAGATTGTGAGTGTCATTTTGGCAATTGAGAAAGCTCGCCAAAGGAAGTGTATGGATCGAAACTAACTCCTTACTTGTTACCTTGGTCTGCAAGTCTTATAATCTGGTCTTCCTGGACATACATTTTGTAAGCTAGTGACATATCATGGACATTTTGACGAATCATATGCTTCTGCTTGGGCTTCTGGCGGCATTGCTAGAATTGTATAGGAATACAGTTGAAGATTTATCGACTGTTTTGTTTCACCTCTAAGACATCATATATAATGCTTTGTTTGTTGAGATTGTGAGTGTCATTTTGGCAATTGAGAAAGCTCGTCAAAGGAAGTGGAACAAATTATGGATCGAAACTAACTCCTTACTTGTTACCTTGGTCTGCAAGTCTTATAATCTAGTCTTCTTGGACATACATTTTGTAAGCTAGTGACATATCATGGACATTCTATTAATCATGTGCTTTTGTAACGGCTAGATCTTTTTACTATTTTATTTTATTGTTTCAGTTTTTAGCAACCTAGTCAATTAGTGGTTGCTATAATTTAGGAGCAAGCTAGTAGTAGTTGCTATACTTTAGGAACAAATTAGTTTAATTATTCAATTCCCTAAAATCCTGGTTACGTGGGATAACTTTCAGTTTTCCTTTCCATTATTTATTGTAACATTTCTATCGATCAAACATATAATTCCTTTCCTTTAATATACTGTTTCTCTACTTCTCTGCCACTATATTTGTTATTTTCTGCCATTAAACTAACAAATTGGTATCTAGAGCCTTCTTCTTAGAGGGACCTGTGAGTGAACCCAGTAAAAACCCACCATAATAAACCTTGCTTAAATTCATCAAATAGATGGATTCTGAAACTCCTTACACAAAATTAGCACCGCCTGTGTTTGACGGTGATAATTATCATATATGGGCAGCAAGAATGGAGGCTCGCCTAGAAGCAAATGACCTTTGGGAAGCCGTTGAGGAAGACTGTGAAGTTCTTCCTTTGCCGGACAATCCAACCATGGCTCAGATAAGAAATCACAAAGAGAAGAAAGTAAGAAAGTCAAAAGCAAGAGCTACTCTGTTTGCTGCTGTCTCACAAGACATTTTCACCAGAATCATGACGATCAAATCGGCATTTGAGATCTGGAATTTCCTCAAGGAAGAATATGAAAGAGATGAAAGAATCAAGGGAATGCAAGCAATGAATCTGGTTAGAGAATTTGAAATGCAGAAAATGAAGGAGTCTGAAACAATTAAGGAGTATGCAAACAGACTTCTTAACATTGCTAACAAGGTGAGGTTGTTAGGTTCTGATTTTTCTGATTCACGAATAGTTCAGAAAATACTAGTGACTGCTCCTGAAAAATTTGAAGCTTCTATTACTTCATTGGAAAATACTAAGGATCTTTCGAAGATCACATTTGGCAGAACTTGTAAGTGCTATGCAGTCCCAAGAGCAGCGAAGGTTGATGAGACAAGATGGTGCAGTCGAAGGTACTTTACGAGCCAAGCACCATTATGGAGAAACCAGTAGAAATAAGCATGTCAAGAAGAACCAGCCA